GGATGCCGAGGGGCTGTCCCGGGGCTCTACCGGGGCTACCCTGGGGCTGTCCCGAGGCTGTACCAGGGGTGTCCCGGGGCTGTACTTGGGGCTGTCTCGGGGCTGTACCGGGGCTGCCCCGGGTCTTTCCCGTGGCTGTCCCGGGGGTTTCTTGGGGCTGTACCGGGGCTGTCCCAGGGCTACCCTGGGGCTGACCCGGGGCTTTCCCGGGGCTGTCCCGTGGATGTACCGGGGCTGTACCAGGGCTGTTCCGGGACTGTACCGGGGCTTTCCCGGCGCTGTATTGGGGCTGCCCCGGGGCTGTCCCGGGACTGTCCTGGGGCTGTCCCGGGGCTATACCGGGGCTGCCTCGGGGTTGTTCCGGGGATTTACAGGGGATGTACCGGGGCTGTACCGGGGCTGCCCTGGGGCTGTTCCGGGGCTATCCCGGGGCTGTACAGGGGATGTACCGGGGCTTTCCCGGGGCTGTACCGGGGCTGCCCCGGGGCTGTTCCGGGGCTGTACAGGGATTGTCCCGGGGCTGTACCGGGGCTGCCCCGGGGCTGACCTGGGGCTGTCCCGGGGCTGACCCGCGGCTGTCCTGGGGCTGTACCGAGGCTGCCCCGGGGCTGTCCCGAGGCTGTCACGAGGCTGTACCGGGGCTATCCAGGGGCTATACCGGGGCTGTTCTGGGGCGGTACCGATGATGTACCGGGGCTACCCCGGGGCTGTCCCGAGGCTGACCCAGGGCTGTCCCGGGGTTGTTCGTTTTTTTTTTTTTTTTTTTTTTTTAATAGCCTTCGCCATTTTAAAGAAAAGTTCATATTTGATGTTCGCTTTATAGGTAGAAGGCATTTATCAATTTTTTGTCAAGAAGAATTAAGATCTGATGGCATTTTATCGAATTTATTCCTCCGCTCTTTTTGAACAAAAAGTAAGCAAGCTAGAGAGTATTTGTTTGCTCTTCAAGGTGGCCAAATAAACGCTAAAAAAAGGGAGGAATAAAGAAAGAAAGAAAGAAGATGAGCATCAATGACAAAATTTCAACAGTTTATAGACATTTTGAACTTATAGCTGCTCTATTTATTCGCTTTTGTAATCAGTTTCGGAGTGTTTCAAGGAAAAAAAAAATTTCAAGTGTTTGTCGGGCTTCCTAGTAAAGAAAGAAGGGTTAAGGTCATACACACCGGTACTTCCACTGTATATAGTATTGCCATACTCTTGAACTGCAATTATGGTATAAAACTTGTCAAGTCCTTATATTAGTGGACGATGTAACTAGAACTTGGGAACTGTACGATGTGCTGGTTCCCGGGGTATGATTCCTTCGCAAAGATCCAGAGAAGGGTGCCCTTCCAAAGCATGGAAACAAATTGTCAAAGATTTTTAGAGAAGGTGCGTCATGTATGCAGACTTTTGCTAGCCAAATGTATGAATCTATGTTTTAACAACTCGTGATAATTTATTGATATGTCCATCTTGGTTATTCTATTTGGTTTAAAGAAAAGAAATTTCCTGAATCATTCTTGGAGTAAGCCGTGTTGAATGGCGCACGCAAGCCTATTCTCGACATCTCAATGTTGTTCTCGTTTCTCTGCAGTTTTGGATCAAGGCATCAAGCATCACCTAGTCCACACCTGATCTATTACAAAGTGTTCACTCTCAAAGTTCTAAAAGAAACAGGAAAGAAAATAAAACAAAGTGTTATATATAAGGAAAGAAAATTTTTTATTTAGAGTGCATGGCAGAAGTTGAACTTGAATTGTGATAAAAGTTCTTATGAAGTGAACTCTAGCTTTGCCTTGAACCTCAAGTCGAGAAGAAAACTAACATAAATTTGTGATCCTTGAATAGGAGAAGGAAGTAAATAGCTTTTCTTTTTTCTGCGAATAAAAATTAATAGCATAAATTTTAAATATCGAATTTTATTTTTTAATACAATATTAAAAAGAAAATTTTTGTCCCCATCACATTCCAGACCCTTAACAAGAAAAGCGCCACAGTGAAACGACGTCGTTTTACTTCCCAAAAGCATTCGCTGCTAATACCAATTCTATCCGTTCTCCTAAGATATTTCCAGTCGCCAGGATTTTGGAAGAGAGGAAGTTCAAGATCTGACTGAAGTGAGAAACAAGAGCAGAAATGGCTTTACTTCGATTACCAAGAATCCCCATTTCTCTGTTTTCCAAACAATCACCTTCTCGCCTCTCTCAAAACCCGAAACCCAACTCACTCCTCACCACCACCTTCAGACCCCTTCTCACATCATTTCCCAAAACCACTCTCTCACCCGCCGAGGCCGAGCCCATTCCCATCGGAACTCCGCAAGTCGAATCTCATGAGGACTTTGAGACCTCGCTCTCGCTCGACATGTACAAGCTCTTCGTGCCTCCGGAGACGGAGGTGAGCGAGGCGAGAATCCTCAAGGGCTCGAACATCGTGTTGAGCAAGTACGCCAGGGACGCCCAGGTCGGCGTTTCCGAGTTCGTCAAGAGCAGCGTCAGGACTCAGGATTGCCCCTCCGACGGCCTCCCTGAGTTCGCCCTCGTCGGACGCTCCAACGTCGGCAAGTCTTCTCTCCTCAACTCTCTTGTTCGTCGCAAGCGCCTCGCTTTGATTTCCAAGAAGCCCGGTCTGTCTCTCTCTCTTTTTTTTTTTTAATACACTGATCAATTCACTTATTTATTAATTTGCATATGGATTATTCATGTGTGTTTATTTTCAGGCAAGACCCAGTGCATCAACCATTTCCGTATCAATGATAGCTGGTACCTCGTGGATTTGCCTGGCTATGGGCATGACTACACACACACACACACACACACACACACTATTGGCATACTAACATTGGAAAACATTATTATGGATCATGGTTATGATGCTGAAGTGATGCTCTAGTCAAGTTGGCAAAGAATACTAACGCCCCGTTTATTTTGCAGGTTCGAGTTGAGAAAAGTTGAATTTAAATTTTCATGAGAGAAAATACTTTAGCCAAAAGTTTGACTTGTGATACAAATTGTGAAACGAACAGGCCTAAATTGTTAGAACCATTTGCGTGTGAGGTGTTGTTCATCTTTTGTAGGTTATAGCATTTTGATGATACAAGATTGTGATTTTAGTTATTGGGCTGGTTGGAGTTTGTTAAGGACATATTTAACTGAATTGTAATGGGAAAGGGAAAGGTTTTAGATGGGAAATGGAACAAAGAAGAAACCTTTTCTAATGTTTAATTACCTATTAAGAAATGGAATTGGAAGAAAAAAATGCAATCTTCTAGGAATCTTAATAAGATTAAGTACTAATGTATCTTTGTGCATATAACCATTTATTGAAATTTAGTAAGGCTAATTTTGTGGTTTATTTTAATTTAAAGAGGAACAAAATCAAGGAGTAACTTAGGATTGACTTTCTCTTACCTCGTTCCCTGCATCATGTGGTCCGTACCAGATTAGCGTTCTTGATATTTTACGTAAACACAAACTCATGACGTTAATAGGTAGGAAAGTGAAACACTTTTTTTTCCATTTGTGTTAAGTAAGCATGCCCTTGATCTTGATGCATGGATGTTGTGTCTGTGAACAGGTATGCTTCCGCACCTCAGGAACTTCGGACAGACTGGGCAAAGTTTACTAAAGACTATTTCCTCAGTAGGTCTACTTTAGTTTCGGTGTTCCTTCTCGTCGATGCTAGCATCCCTGCCAAAACTATTGACCTCGAATATGCTAGTTGGCTGGCTGAGAATCAGGTAAACTCAACTAACGGAGAAATAAAGAGATAACCACATTCTTATTCTGGTAAGGGAAGATATATTTCTAAAAGCTATGATGGTATATAAAAAAAATGCGTAGTTTGAACTTTTTGTCTTTTCTCTTAAGCAACATTCGTCGAAATTAGTTCAATTTTCACTTGACGACTATTGCTATTCATCTGAGTAAAAGGACAAAGAAGCTTGTGCCACCATACAAGATACTTTCAATTTTATCTCTCAGCAGTTTGAAATGAAATATGAGAAGAGTTTAAAATATGTTGTTTCAGATCCCCATGACATTGATCTTCACCAAGTGCGACAAGCGGAAGAAGAAGAAGAACGGAGGGAAAAGACCGGAAGAGAACGTGAATGATTTCCAGGAGTTGGTTCGCGGGTTCTTCAAGTCAGCACCGCCATGGATTATGACCAGCAGCGTCACAAATCAGGGCCGCGATGAGATATTATTGCATATGGCTCAACTGCGGAACTACTGGCTCAAGCACTAGCCAAAAGACTCAAAACCAACATGGAATTTCAAGTTAGGTGCGGTCACCTACAAGATCTTCTGCAATTCTCGACTTTTGAAGATTAGAATGGATAGTAAATACAAAGCCAGGAAGAAAATGAAAGGAACTCAATGGCGGGAACTAAACTGCCGTTCATCACAACCATAGAAGGATTGGTCGTCTCAAACATGGAGAAAGTCGGGATGCATCTGTATGAGTTCTCTCTTTGGAGGCCTTTTCAGCAGAATACAAGATCATTTTAAGCCTAACTTATGTTCATGTACCTTGTTAAATGTGTTTTAAAGTGGAAATTTTTAGTTTTACCCGAGGCATATTTTATCTGTTGGGACAGAAATCACGTACGAGAGACGAGACCCTCCAAGAATGGGAATAACTATGGCATGATTGAGCTGAATTGTGAAAATATCTTGCATCTTTTATGGCCCGTTTGGTTCATAAATTATTTTGATTGAATCACAAGTTTAAATCAGTGAACCACACAGGCTTTTGGTCTTTGCCACTCACAAACATTCACATTGCGCTTTTGAGCTGCAGGCTTCTAAATATTCTTGAAAGTATAAAAATTCAAGCCAACTGAGATGAGAAGGGCGTCGAAACAAAACCAGTCTAGTAGACAAAAGACATATATAGTCAAAATTCTTCATTGCAACAACTAGCAGCATTACAAGTTACAGGCTACAGGCAAAAACCAAAATCTAAAACTCGTCTGAGAGGATTCAGAAGTACAAAAGGAAACATTCCCTTCAAAATCTTATGAAGCTGCGGCAGCTCCCTTACTCCTCGGCGTCGCTTCGGTAACTTAGGGGATGTTTAGTTGGAGGATTCAAACCATAATTTGAATTATGGTTCATAGTTTGTTACAGTGTTTTTTCTCAAAAAAATACACATAAATTAAAAATAGTTATAATCACATGATTCTAATCTATGAACCAAACGTCTCCTTACCTTCTCTGAAGTTGGTTTGAACCTACGCGGCACATGACGGAGGTACCTCATACGGCCGGTTCCAGTGGTCCTCCAGCGGATGGCCTTAATACTCCAGTTATCTGAAACCAAAACCCCATAACAAATAAAAATCCATAATAAGGTTATAAGCACCAAAAATACATAAAAAAAACACACACTTTGAAGTAGCAGCCTTCATTATTTAGGAGACATAGTAACACCCCACTTAACACCAAAGCTCCAATATAAATTTCAAACTGTGCGCCAGAGAAATGGCAAAACCCAAAAGGCTGAAATTACCTTAAAGCTTCAAAAGATTTGAATTCAAGGGACAAATAAATGAATTTTATTGACCCAAATATTGCATATCTAGTAGCCTAAAACGCCAAATCGAAAATCAAAATGATCTAAGCAATAAAAAACAATACATAACTACAGGGCCACCCAAATTTCCGTATTGTACAACTTAAAAAAAAAAAAAAAAAAAAAAAGTTAAAGTTTATCATCCCTTTGTAAAACAGAAAGCGAATTTCCTACAATAGTAAAACGATTCAATCCAAAAGTTTGCTTTTTTTTCCCCCTCACTTTCTCATCAAACAAAGAGTAGACAGTGCGTATGGACACCAAAACTTCATGAACTGGAATAGAAATAAAGAAATGAAGAACGACAAAAAATAAATTACAAATTATGATATGACTAGCGGGATAACCACAAGAGGCGCATCGACTCTTCTGGAGATGGAAGCTTCTTCGTCCGCATCACACGCACAGCGTGTGCGTCTTGTTCCTTCGTTTCCCAAAACTCCCTGTTCCTTTTCCCTGTTTCGTGTTCGACCATGTTAATTATACCTATTTATATACATATATATACACACATACAAATAGAAACATTTGGATCGTGTATAATTTGTTTGAGAGATAGACTAACCATTCTTTGACTTGTCGTAGAGAACTTGCGATCAAGATTTTCCGGGAAAAGGAGTTTGATTTTAGAGCGGTTGGGGTTTTATAGTTAGGATTTGGGGTTTTTCTTGGGTTTGTTGGGTTAAGTTCTTGTAACCGACTTACTAATATGGATTCGGATGTCAGTGAGCACTGATAAGAGCCATGTTCTGTTCGCATGGCACAAGAAATAATAACCCAAAATGATCACTTTATACTATCAACTGTTCTTGATTGTAGAAAAATTCTACACGTGTTCTTTCAGTGTTGCTTTTACTGTTTTATCTTTAATTTTTTATTTATTTATAGGATGTTTGTTTCTGATATTTGAATATGATTCTTAATTATGACTCATAATTCTCTACAGTATTTTTTCTCACAAAAAATACACATAGAATGATAATGGTTCTGAATCATGATTCTAAATCTATGAACCAAACGTCCACTTAGTTATTTTTTGTTGGGTTTTTTAATCATTTATGATGCCCAGAATTAATGAGTTGTTTTTTTTCCTCTGGTGGGAAAATGATTGTGTGCGGTGAGATTTAGCATAAAAACCACGTGTTGAAACTTAATTGTGCATCTTCTTAAGTGCTCTCTACGTGGCAGTATACAGACTGCCTCATAAACAATGTAGCCACGTGTCGCCATTTTAATGGTCAAGAAGAGCGCGCTCACGTGAAACTGAAGCAGACGATCTTGTGCATCTCTTATTGTGGCCAACAGCTTAACCACATGTCGCACTTTGATTCGTGGGAAAGAAGAAAGTGGCGGGGCCCACCTCCGATTTTGTCCCCTGCCACATGCTGGAAGCGCATCTTTTTGCGCGCGTGTTTCACGCGCTAGTTGCAGCTGTTGAATTTTTAGATCCAACGGCTTGTGATAAATACTAAATTATGTTTAATTATTATTATTAATTATATTTAATTACTACTTTATAATGGATTTATAGTCCGTCTTTATCCATTCTAACACCATTTTGCATGAAATTTCTAATACGACTTAGATAAAAATACTATAAATGATCAAATTAAATTTAAAAAATACACTAAATAAAATAAAATCACGTCAAATTAAATTAAAAAATATATTAAACAAAATAGGTTTATACAAGCCTATTGGCTTGATCCCTCCGCTACCACTAGTGCCGGAACTTTGGATGGGCCGCCCGAAAATATAGATTTTTTGCCCGAAGCCTGACCCGACCTGCATGAAAAATTCGGGCCGCCCGCCCGAGCCCGAAAATGCCCTTGAACGAGCCGCAGGCTTATATTTGGCTGCCTGAACTCGGCCGGGCAGCCCGAGCCTACCCAAATAGCTTGAATTTTTTTTTATTTTTTTAATTTTTATAATTATTAAGTTTTTTATGTTAAAATTATATATAAATTAAAATTAACATTCAACATACATTATTAACACAAACTAATAAATTAATCATGCATATTAATGATGTATATTAACACAATTTAATAAATTAATGATGTCCACTAAGGCTCAGATCAGTAGATTCCCGCGTAACAAATTCATTAGTGGGAAATTGTTGTTCTTTCATGTTGTGTTGGGCATCAACGGGAATACCACTATAACCAAAAGGATCCATTATAAAAAAAAAATAAGAGTGATTTGAGATAGAGAGCTTTAGGATAATGTGATAGTTTTTAAAAAAATTGTGAGAGAGATTTGAGAGATTGAGAGAAATTGAGAGGGATTGAGAGAGTTTGAGTGAGAAAAATGTGTGGGGGATGGAGGGTATTTAAAGGAAAATTTTTGGGTTAAAATTAATTGCAACAGCTATTTAGTCAGCGGGTCAGGTTCGGCGGGTTTGGGCGGCAACGGTCAAAAAACTAACCGTTGGACGGGTTTTCGGGCAGTTCGGGCATGTCGGGCATTCAGGCAAAATTTGGGTTTTCAGGCTTATTTTTGGGTTGGGCACCAATGGTCAAAATTTTGACCGTTTCTCGGGGTAGTCGGGGTTCAGGCAAATCGGGCTTGGCTGGAAAAATTCAAAAAAAACTCCAGCGAACGGCGGTTGACGACGCCTACACAACGGCGAGCTCCGATGTGGTGACCATTTTCGGGCTGCCCGAGCCCGAGCCCGAATTTACAAGTTTGGACGGGCCGGCAATTGGGCCTGCCTGCCAAGCCCGAAAAATTCGGGCCTCGGGCTTGTCTGCCGGCCCAAAGTTCCAACACTAGCTACCACTATAGACCCCTAAACAAAATTTAAAGATAAATTTTATGTGATAGAAAATACAATAATAAAAAATTAAATTTAAATTTTTATAAAAACAAATATTATGATAATAAAATTTGAGTTGTGATTTGAATTGAGAAAAACATATGTTTTATACGTCTTAAATTCAATTGTCTATTTTAATAGTTACTTATATAATATGATCTAGATATAGTTTTTTTGACGTGAGTAGTTATGAATTTGTATAATTGATTTTTCTAATAAATTTGTGTAATTGATTTTAAAGATGGTTTATAAGAACATCTCCAAAAGAATTTTTTAAATTTTAGCTAAATTTAAATTAAAATGGTTAGAAAGCTATTTTATCTAGCAACTGTTCAGTGAGTCATTTCAACCATACTTTTTATTTTAACTAAATATAGATTTTTTTAATATTTATTGAATTTAAAATATAAATAATTTTATTGAGTTTACAAAAAAATATTTGTATTTATTATAGTTTAAAGAATAAAATAATATAAAAAATAAAATGGTTTAGTCTTTTTATACTAACTATATTTAGTTAGTGTAGAAGACAATTTTTAAAATAGTTAACCATTTAATTAATAGTTGGAGTGGCAAAAGAAAAAAAAAAACTAAATTATTAATCATTTTAACTAAAATAATAGCATGATTAGAGTTACTCTAAAGAGTTGTGAGACTTATGACAAATCTTATTAACTTCTGCACTAACATTATAAATTTAAGCTTCTAGAAATAAGATAATAAGTTGAAAACAACTGACACAAAGTTACCAATCACATTAAATTTAGATTGTTTGAGAAATAAGCAATGCTTTAATCTAATTTATTTTGTTTTGGAAAAAAACTGAAAAGCGGTCATAACTTAGAAAACCTGAGATAATTTTATATCTTGGTCTCGTGTTTATTCTTCTACTGAATTTTTTTCAAGTATTGAAATTATTTTCTTTTTGGTTCTCTGTCTGGTCCAAATATTTGTACGTTTGCTGTATGAGTACTAAAATTCTGTTGTGAATTTTTATAGCAATTTCCTTCTCCATGATGATTTTTAGACCTTTAGAGAAAAATAAAATATTTTAAATTAATAAAATGTTTACAAGATGACGCGAAGGCGGGGATAGCTCAGTTGGGAGAGCGTCAGACTGAAGATCTGAAGGTCGCGTGTTCGATCCACGCTCACCGCATTCTTTTTTATTTGTTTGTCTTAATTTATGTACAGAGTTTCAGAATTTTTTCATAATATATTTGATAAAATACGCACAAAATAGCTGATTTTGACACCTAAAATAATTGTTATTTTTTTTTTTCAAAAAATGAAAATATTAAGATCGTCCGTCGTATAAATATGACTGGGATTTCTAGCCATGTATACCAGAGATTTCCAATATTTATCAACCCCAACCATAAAACAGAACAAAAAACAAACAAAAATTCTGGAACAGGCTTATCCAAATGGCCAAGTTTGGCAGTCATCTTTTTTTTTTCCCCCTCATCTAGGATCACAAGAAAATTATCACGACAGACAGACATTCCCCAGCTAGGAATAATCATCATCTTTAAGATTGGAACCAATCATGATTTGATTTTTGAACTGTCAGATTGATATATATATATATATATATATATTTTTATTTATAGATCATGACCATTCGGTTGATCACAAACTTCTGCCAATCGAATTTAATGGACTTCAAACGGTCCATATTTCACAATATAATATTGTATAAAGCATATATTAAAACAGTTAGCATGGCATAATCAATTTTTATGGACCACATTCTATTTATGGCTTTTATTTTATTCTTATTTCATTTTATTTCTAGCTTATGGTCCTGTTTACAAACTGGCCGTGACCATGTGCACCACTGTGTACGTACTTCTTTAAATGCCCTATCATGAGCTTGTGGATGATATACAATACATAATAGCTTTTATAAGGACCACTTTTTATTTATTTATTTAGTTTAAGATTGCTATGCATTTAAATTTTTGTTCAATTCAATATAGCCGATTCAATTGCTTTTGTATTAAAAGCAAGTAAGAAAATTAGTTACCTTTTTTATTTGGTCGATAAATTTTATCCCTGTGTTATTCTCTAGACACTTTAATTGTTTGAGACTATTACCATTTTAACTTGTCTCTAATATTGAAACTTTTCTCTTTTAATTAATTAATATTACAACATCTCCAACCATGTTAATCATTTCATATTTTAAGTTAAAATAATTAATAATTTAACTTTTATTTTTTAATTATTATTTCCTTTTTTACTTTTCTCTGCTTTAACTATTAACTAAATAGTTAGCTATTCTTTCAAATAGTAATAAATGCAATGTTCCTTTTTAAATTCAACAAAATTATTTATATTTTAAATTCAATAAATATTAATTATTCTATATTTAGCTAAAATAAGGTGTATGGTAAGTGACTCACCTAAAAGTTGCTAGTTAAAATAACTTTCCACCTATTTTAAATAAAATTTAGCTAAAATTGAAAAAGTTCCTTTAGAGATGCTCTTAGTTTTTATTAGTAAATATTTTGGGATAAGGATGAAAGAAATGCCTAGGCGTACTTCATATATTTAAATCCGTACGGATAAATTTTGGAATGCTTCATTGCTACAATTTATGTGTGCAACAGAATCCTGAATCCTAAGAAGGGTTCATTTCGTCCTGATCAATATAAAATCGTCCAATAGACTCTTTTTATATTACTAATCTAACGGTGATGTGTTATTAACTATTATTTCATAAATACTTCTAAACTATTGATTTTAAGTCAATTTATATCTTGAAATATTGATTTTAAGTCAATTTATCTTTTTATTTTTATTTTTTTTTAAAAAGGAAAGAGAGTTAACGTAAAATTCAGTGGTTCTAAAGACATATTTACGAGATTACATAATTTAGGGGGTGTTTAGAACGATTTTATATAGTTCAACAA